GTATATTTTTTCACCATCCTGATCATCATGACCGTGTGGCAATAAATCGCACTGATGAACTTTATTAGGAATGGATATCTTCTGGAATCCCGCCCCCGCTTTGCATTTTTGTGGAAAGAGATGTATTTGATTAACATACTGGTTCTTTAACCACTTTTCGATATCTTGCAGGAAAAAATGATCGTACCCTTCTCTCCAACAAGCCTTTTGTAACTGTTTCGCGTTTGAATAAAATCCGGGTATATGATAGTAGATTAGACGAAGAACGATTTTTAATTCCTCATCAGCGTTAATTATAATACTAGGTATACTCATTTTTAATGCATTTTAATATGAACTATAAAAATAATGGATTATAATTTCGATCCAGCATATCTACAACTGCTAGACACTAATCGAGAGTTACGTAAAGAGTTAGGTAAAGAAGTAGACATAAACCGCGAAAATGAGAAAAAAATCCGTAGTCTCATCAAGGATCTTGAATATTGTAAGAAAACCATTTCATTTCAGGATAACACTATTATCGCTCATGAAAAGGAAATTCAAGAACTCAAATTCCAAGTATCCGATTTGCAAAAACGTCTCCGGACTGCTTTGAAGGATGCTGATAAAAAGGAAGGTTACATTTTTGATCTAGAGCAACGGTTGTCTACACTCGAAGAGGAAGTGCTCGTATTAAAAAATAAAATTCAAAAAATTACTTCTCGAAAGTATAATAAATCTGCAGAAATCAAAGATTCACTTAATATAGTTAAGATGTCTCAGCCGATTCAACCACCTAGGCCCAATGAACTTAACGACCTTTTCGATACACTTCTGGATGAAAATGTACATATTGATAATTATGTTCGAAATTCCCACACTTCGGCTTGGAATCAGAGGGATATTTTAAACAAGATTATTACGGTTAATGATTCTGCACTTCGACTAAAAGAAATTGCTGACTGGGAAAATGACGAAGCGCAAACCCAGTATCAGCAATATGGTCAGATGATTGCGGGTTTGAATAATCAAGCAACTCAACTTCAAGCCCAAATTCAGGGAGATGCACAAATTATTATACAATTACAGGCTCAGCTGGATGCGGTGAATAATAATTTCAATCTTCTTAATCAGGCCCACAATTTCCAGACCGGTAATTTACAAACGTGCCAAGCTGACTTACAAACTTGGCGTAGAAAGCATGCAAAGAGAAAAGGTAAGCATATCAAGCAAAAGGCGAAACACAAAAAATGGGAAAATAAGGAAAAAACTTCTCGGCAAATAATTATAAATTTAAATCAACAAATTTTGGCGCTTAATAATAACTTACAAGATATGGCTCAGGCATCAAGACAACATATCTATCTAACTATTGCACCGAAACTTGCCCAAATTCCAGTCTATATAGGCCAGGAACCACCGGACGATTATTGCAACAGGGTTGCTCAAGCAATTTCTTATGCCGATACACTTATCACTGATGCTAATGATGCCAATGCAAACACTTTTACAGATGCTCACAAGGCAGATATTTATAAATCGCAAATGGGAGGAAAATATCTACCAGTTCCTGCGCAATATCCAAATGGAACAAATATCGATACTCCAGCACGATTCAGAGATTGGATCAGGTATCAATATCAGCAATTAATGGTTGGGACTCAACAAGTTGCAATTCAGAGATTAGCGTTCGAATTATTCAAACCTACTGATAACCCAGAAACGTATGAGAATAGGATTCGACCATTTTTACTAGGAGTACCTAATAATGACGCTAATGCCTTGTCATTCCTTATGAATCATTTACCTGATGAACTTTTTACTCGAATGAAAGTTGCGCAACCCGCGGACATTGATGCATTCTTTACTAATCTCAAGAATATGTGGTTGGAGCGTAGACCTTCTTTATTTAACTATGGAAGTGCGAATAATATGAATGGAACGACATTTCAACCACCTCAGCAGATCGTTCAACAGCCTACATTCCAACCGCCTCAGCAAATCATACAACATCCTACATTTCAACCGCCTCAACAATTCATTCAACAACCGGAGCTTCAACCATTTCAACGAAATTTTCGTCCCAAAACTGAGAAAGCCAAGTACTATGAAGAGTTAAAGAATTATGCGGAAAT